AGTTTTTTAGTTACTTCTGCTCAACTTTGTACAAAGGTAGTCAAATAAAAACCTCTGGTTTTGAGACATCCATAAGATCACTATGGGATACTTATCCAAATTTGTTTTCCTATGAAGTAGTCTACACACCGAAGAACTTGGGCTCTCTTACTAAAGTTTAAGTTGCTATTGACATTCAGACATTCAGAGTTAGGCCACCTGTCACTGTCAAGAATCTGGCACTGCCTGTATGCTAGTGTCCTGTGTAGGTGTGGGATTAGAGCCACGGAGGCATGCTCAAGCTGCAGGGCAGAGTGCCTGCAATAAAGACATTTGAATCTGGTCATTTCTATTTTTAAAGTTTGTGTGTGTGTGTGTGTGTGTGTGTGTGTGTGTGTGTGTGTGTGTACACGAGTGCAATATCTATAGAGGCCAGAAGAGGGCACTGGTTTCCTTGGAGCTGGAGTTACAGGTGATTGTGAGCCACCTAACTGGGGTGCTGGGAACCAAGCTCAGGTCTTCTGCAAATGACATGTACACTCTTAATGAGCCATCTGTCTAGCTCCATATCTGAGCCCTCCATGCAGGACTCTTTTCAGCCTTCTGAGATGGGACCAAAGAAGACCCATGTTCTGGAGATATGGGTCACAGTGTTGTGGTGACCTTGCTGAGGCCACTAGCTTGGCCTGCTAGCAGCATGATACCAGACCCTGACTAGGCTCTGGACTCTGTCCTGGTCACCTATCTTTTGTAGAGCACTTCGGCACTACTGCCAGGCACATCCTGGGTTGGGGTGGGTGAGCCTAGCATCTCTGCCTTGTGCTTGTTCCACATTTTTTTAGTTTAAAGTCTCTGGGAAAGCAGGGATTAGATCCTTGGGATCTGTGTTCAGAGACTGACGGAGCACAGAAAAAAATGTGAAGATGATGGAGGAGCTGCAAATGGAAGCAGTGATGGAGAAGAACAGCAGTGCAGATAGCTCCCCAAACAGAGTTTGCTGCGCATACTGGGAGAATCCACAGAGACTATCTTATCCCTAACATGTGCACATCGGACTACAAAGCCAGGGGAAGCAGGGTGATCTTAAAAGCTGAAGAGGGAAAGACAGAGCTTCTTGAAGGAAGGGAGGAGTGGCAGTAGATGTATCCTCACAGACAAGGAGAGAGAGGGATGTATGCCATCTAGGCATAAGCAAGGGCAGGCTATGATAGTCCCACAATGGTAAGCTTTCCTAATGACAGTTCCCAGAACAAGTTGTGATGTTGGGATTATCCGACTGCATTTGCAACTGAGAGACAAAACAAGAGGAGTAGAGCATCACAAAGCTCATATACAAAGCAGCCCACAGCCTCACAGGAGCTTATTAAATGGACACAAGTGCTCAACTCTAAGGTGCAGTTAAAACAATTCCACTATTAAAGGCAAGAATGTACACTGATAAAGTCCCTTCAGCCATTATGAGGCTTATTGCACGCACATTTAAATTAAAATAAAAAGGACTAATAAGAAATTATGTAGGCTACACTAGTTAATTAGAAAAGTGAATGTGCAAGGCGGTGGTGGCACTCATCTTTAATCCCAGGACTCAGGAGGCAGAGCCAGGTGGATCTCTGTGAGTTCGAGGCCAGCCTGATCTAGGACAGGATCCAAAGCTACACAGAGAAACCCTGTCTTGAAAAAAAAAAAAAGAAAAAGGAAAGTGAAGGGATATATTTTCATCACTGTGCCTGCATCTGTAGCTCAGGGAACATTGTGGAAGATTGCAAGAGCCAAAACAGCAGGCAGTTTGGTGTGAATCAGTCTTTCCTAGAAATGGCTATATAAGCAACACTTGGAATAACGGCAGTATCAATGGGCATGTTAACATGGAAGGGGGAAATTTTCGTGTAGTTCCATTCATAGACAAAGAACTACAAGAAGCTAATGACTGCTAGTCATAGAGGGAGAATTAGCCTCTCTATTATTGACTGTCTGTTACAGGACGGTCAGCCTTGAACTATTTACACATAAGCAACAACAACAAAAGGACTCAGCAAGTTGTGTGTGTGTGTGTGTAGGCACAGAGATACATGCATACATACATACATACATACATACATACATATATACATGTATCAGTGATAATCAAAGAAAAGGAGGCTATCAACTTGAGAGTGGAAGACTGTGAGGAGGTTTCTGGGGAGGGCACCTGGGAGACACTGGAGTAGGGAATGGGAGGAGAGAAATGTTGTAATTCTGTTTCAACTGAAAACATATTTTAAAAAGAATTAATGCAAAGGGCCCAGTGAAATGAGGGAAACTTATTAAACTATTCAAAACCCAGTTAAAAGAAGAAATGAATACAACTTGAAGAAAGTCAAGGTAAATAAAGCTCATAGGAATTGCTGCAAATGATTCTAATAACTAAAACTGGTTTGTTTGACATCACAAGATGATTAAAATACCAAAAATGTCAGTTTTCTCTGTACATGTGGTTACACCTATGATATAATTCAGCACACACATGATAACACTTAGCACACTTGATGTCAATTCAAGACATCTTACAGATACGGCAGCTAAAGATGAGACTGTGGACAGCATTTTTAGTTCTACAGAGAACAACATGGAGCTTCTTAAAAAGCCTCTCGAATTTGACCTTGTTGTCAAATTCCAGAGATCTCAGCTACCGCAATAAGACAAGAAAAATAAGTGGTGTACAGTTTAGACAAAACTTTTAAATCCACCAGGTTTATAACAGTATAGTAGGAAATCCTATCAAATCCAGAAATAATTAGCACTAGAGACAGAATCAGAAATAGCTGTTGTGGATTCAAAATTAATGTATAGAGTCAA